CGTCTTTTAAAAAACAACGACGGTTTTTTGATCTACCGTCGTTGTTTACTGGTCGTCTTTTGCCCTTTTTGTAGTAGTGTTATAGCAACCAAAACAGCAACCAATCATACAAATTAAATTATTACTCAATATTTGCCAAATCACGTTATTGAAAGATAATCTGAAATGAAACTTAGGGTTTGAATTCCATATTAATGATGAATTCCATACCAAAAATAACAAATAAAACAGCAACAATTCCATACCATAAATAAACACAGCCAGCAAGCCAATCTGGAAAAACTTTGCCTTCAAATCAATTATGTCTAGAAAAAATATATATACAAAGTCAGACAATATAAATAGAATTAACATAAATCAACAAAAATCCCTAAATTTTGAATTAGGGTTTCAAAATATTAATACCTCAAACCAACAAAAATCGAGAGAGGGAGACCTTTGATGACTAAGAGAGAGCGGGTGAGAGAGAGCGATAGTGGCTGAGAGAGTGACTGAGAGGAAGAACGGACAGAGGCAGAGACCAGGAGAGAGAGAGTGAAACCGGCTGAGGGAGACGAGAGTGAGAGTGGCTAAGAGAGAGCCGGTGAGAGAGAGAGTAAGTGACTGAGAGAGAGTGGGTGATAGAGAGAGAGTGACTGAGAGGAAGAACGAAGAGAGGCAGAGACGAGAGACTGAGAGAGGCAAAGGCGAGCGAGAGCAGGTGAGAGGAGACTGAGTGACTCAGAGAGAGTGAGTGATTGAGAGATCGTGATTCGTGTGAGAAATCTAGAAAGAGTCTGAGAGAGTGAGAGAGGCAGAGGCGAGGCGAGAGAAAGAGTGACTGAGAGGAACAACGAAGAAGAAAGAAAGAGGCGGGAACCAAAAGAAAACGCTGCTGAGGACTTTTGACCCCTCAAGGTCTTTGTTCTTGCACAATGCCAAGGAAAAGAAAACGGATTGGTTGGCAGAACAGTCTATTCGCGGATGATTAAAATATTCATATATAAAAATTTGATATATTTAGTTGCTTTTTGTGGATTGGTTGGCAAAATTATCTATATATTTGAGACATTATTCACAACTAACCTCTCCGCACGGAGAAATTATAGAATAGTACGGATATACCACGTCAGCATGTGATACTCCCATTCAAATATTGCCATGTGTCTATTTCAAAACAGAAATTAAATATTTATTTACAGCTGGACTTATATTATGAAATAAAATTTAAAACTCTTGAAGAACAGAAAAAGAAAAGAAAAAATATTCCCAACCGCCGCCCCTCCCCTAAAACCCCACTGCGTTCCATGGATGCCATCCCTCTCTCTTCCTCTTCCTCCCCGTCTCTTTTCCTCTTCACCATTGCCACCAGCATCCAAACCCTCATCTTCCTTAATTCCCCTTTCTCTGAAATTGATCATGACAACCTTTGCCATCATCATACTATTTCCAAACCCAGATCCAATACGGTAACTCCTTGGTAACAATTACTTCAATCAATACAATGCAACAATTCTCTCAAAGGGTCTCTCTGTTTTGCATTCACTCTAACATGTCCCAACCATTAACACAAACACCAACCCTTCCACTATTCCATTTCATCATCATCATCATCATCATAATCATCAATACTAGTTTTCTCTACCTCTCTTTAAACTCCATTACCTACAATTACTATAAGGGTTGAGAAGGAAAAGCAAAGGGAAAAAGGAAGAGGAAGAGGAAGAGGAAGAGGAAGGGAGATGGGTGACAGTCATGGCAGGTAGTGTGGAGATGGGTGGCGGTCATGGCATGTTTTTGGGATTAGAGGTGTTGGGTTCGGCGCGGGGGGTGGGGGGTTGTTGTTGGGAATTCTCTTTTTCTTAAGTTTTTCAATTTTCTAATTTTATTTCATAAGATAAAAATTAAGAAATAAATCCAGCTGTAAAAAAAGTTTAATTTCTATTTCAAAATGGACACATGGCAATATTTGAATGGGAGTATCACATGCTGACGTGGTACATCCGTACTATTCTATAATTTGCTTGAAATCTCTCAGGAAACTCTCTGGGAAATCTCCAAAATCTATGAAATCTGGATTGATATTTGTTTAGAAATTCAAATTCAAACACTTAGCATATACTACGATATTCAACACCATATGTTATTTAATATTACAGTGCATCATTGATGGGCATATTTTATATTATGTATTTAACCCTATTATTAATATATTTTGGTTAATATTTTGGAAGAATTTTGATACTTCGAATTATATTTCCAATATAGGGTTTTCGACTTCCTCCGGAGCAAAACATAATCAAATGGACGAATTTTGGAGTAATTCCAGTTGGAGGACGTTCGTGAGTCACTTAGCTTGATCATATCAAAATTTCAGATTTTTCTACCAAGTGGTTATTCTCTGGCAATAAAATAAAGGAGCAATGCGCGGTGCTGGAATACTGACGGTTTGGGCCTTTATTGCGTTTTGGAGCCCAAGATGACCTCAGATGGGTTCGTGGCCTTCTGAAGATATGTTTAGAATGTTTTTATCTTTAAAACGAGCTATCTTGGGCCTGATTTGGAGGAGATTTGAGCCTAAAACGTGGCTGGGCAGATTGTTGGCAGATTCTCCTAGTCCAATTTGGACTTTATTTCCTAGTATTATTTTATTTTAACCTAGTTTCCTTGTGGAGATTGGGCAGCTGGGTTTTAGGAAGTATATAAGTTATGTTTCACATAATTTTAGGACATCTCTCTTTTGGCTTTTGGAACGCAACTTTTGCTAGGGTTTTTGAAGAACTTCTACTTCAAGGTGTTTTTATTTCTTATTCATGGGAATGATATTTTCTTGGGTTTTAATTATGATTATGCGTAACTAACTCTCTTTGCTAGGGTGAAGCCTTGAACCTTAGGGGGGTGTATTCAATTGAGATTTTAAAAGTCTTGCGGATTTAAGCAGAATATAATTACTTTTAGGATTTTTTTAATGGATTTATACAATCAAGATTTTTTACTTATGATTTTAAAGATTTCTATTACAAGTTTATTTCTTATTCATGGGAATGATATTTTCTTGGGTTTTAGTTATGATTATGCGTAACTAACTCTCTTTGCTAGGGTGAAGCCTTGAACCTTAGCATGAATATGTGATTTTTATTTAATTACTTATGATTGATTGCATGCATACTTTGAATTGTTAATCACTGTTTTAAACTATCTAATTGTCTTAATGCTTGATCACTATTAGGATCTTTAGAAAAGGAATTTGATGCAATTTTGGTCGGAAGGTTCCCGGGAATTGACGCTTGCTTCTTGTGGTTAATAATTGTAATTTCACTTAAGATGAACACCACGTCTTAAGGGTTGCATGTTTTTTCAAAGGGTTTTCACAAAACTTAATGAGTCTTTTATGTTCATATTTGATCCGAACGTCCGGACGGGTTGCATGTTAGATATACGTTCTATGTTGGAGGTTCCAAGTAGAATATAAATTAGGAAAACCTAACCTTCAAAGTGGCATGTGCAAATCATAAGTAATTGGTAAGAATTCATAGGATTGCTAGGTGACGGTGAAACCCTAGTGCTTTTATAAATTGGTTTTTAAAACTTGCTTTTCTTCAATTTCCCAACTTTCCGATTTCTTATCATAAGTAATTGGTAAAAATTCATAGGATTGCTAGGTGACGGTGAAACCCTAGTGCTTTTATAAATTGGTTTTTAAAACTTGCTTTTCTTCAATTTCCCAACTTTCCGATTTCTTTTATTGTTAAGTTAATCTTTTCAAATTCATAAATTTCAAATCTTTGATAAAATCTATTTTAACCATTAACTAAGAGTTAGTTTAATTACAAATTAGTCAAACAATCTTTGGGGACAACGACCTTGCATGAGCATTTATACTACAATTACCTTGTATTCTTGCAAGTATTTTCAGTGATTTTAACCCTCTTTGCGCAGGTACTAAAAATCCTATCAATGATCTCATATCAAATCATGGTGACTGGTAGAACTCTTGATGTACGCAAATGTCCAGATGCCTTGCAGACAGTATAGTTGTATTCATTCAATTCGAAGTAGAGCAAAAAGGATTAGGTGGTATGGTTAGATTGCCATGGTAACCGCAATGGATTGACTGCTTACCTTTAAGTCAAAATGGGAATATGATGGCTGGGCCGTCCGGTTTACATCTTGCTTCTCTGCAAATTTCAAGGCCTACTCCGCCATGGACTGCATCGACATCTACTACTATGAGCAACCAGCATAAGAAATTGATCAGAAGCATTATTATAACAAAAAAATGGCTTGCAGCATTCCGGTCTCTTGCTAAGTTATTAATTGATTGTGTACGACAGATATGGATAAGATTTAAGCATTAATATCGTCTACACATATATATAGCATGATTGGTTTTATGATGGATGAGTCTCCAGCATAGTAGCCGACAATGGGAAGTGTAATCCCTGCAGCATTGACAAATTGGGAAAGCAAAGTTGATTGGCAGAAAAAGTGGGAAAGCAAAATTGATTGGCAGAAAAAGTGGGAAATCAAAGTTGATAGGCAGACAAAATTGATTGGCAGCACTTTCGTTATGTGCATGTGGCTTTTGTCCTTTGAAGAAACGCAGAGTTTTATGGTTGAGCTGTTTAAGAGAACTAGAGGAAGGCAAACCGAGAGAAAAGAAGAGAAGTGAGGCAGAGAGCAGAGAAGAAAGGGAGATGCTGCTGTAGGAGAAGAAATAAAATTCCAGTTGTTTTCTTCTTCATTTCGTGCTGCACAAGAGCTTTATTGTTCTAGAGACACTATTCTTATTTGCCTCTCTTTTATTCTCTCTAGTATTTGTGAGTGTGAACTTGCCTTCAAATGGCCATTTCTGAAGTCACTCCTTTCTTATTTGCCATAGGCATCTAAGTTGTCTAATTAATATGCCCTCTTCCTTAATTTCGATAAATTCCTATTGGATTGAATGCCTCTTCCCTTCCTCCTAATATTCTCTCTCACTATGTCTAGAGGAAGTCTCCTATTTGCTGCACACATAGTAGTTCTCGTTCTCCTTGTTCCTCCTTCCTTCTGTTTCCAAACATCCACCCTGGAAGATAGTACCCTTTCTTGTGGCAATATATACATAAGGTCTCCATTCTGTTTAAAGGAAGACCTTCTAAACTGTGGCGACAACACTTTTGAGCTATATTGTGAGGAAAATGTTACAGTAATACGCTTGTATTCGGGAAAGTATTACGTAAAGGCGATCAATTACAGTGACTGGACAATCCGAGTTGTGGATGCTGGTGTTCAGAAGAAAGACAACTACTTCTCCAACCCACTTTACTCTTTAACCTCCTACAACCTTAGTGCTCGTGGAGATCCTTTTTCATCTATTTTTTATAATAGCGACAAAGATATTCTAGAACTCCGACTGTATAGTCTAGCGATACGTGAAGTGTCTATAATTTTTATCAGCTGTGCAAATCCAATGCATTCTCCTCGCCTTGTTGATACAGCTCCATGCATCAACAATTCTGCCAATTCTTCTTTGTCCAGTACTTTAAGAATGTTTTCTTATGTCATGATTGGCTTGAATGGCTCCATAAGTCCATTCGATTTGGGGGAGTCCTGCAAAATAACAAAAATGGTTGTGGTGTCACCTTCAACATCTACAGATCTGCACCAGAACTTGTCA